ATAAAGACTTTGACCCCTTTGAAGGGTCTAGAAGATTTGAGCAACTTCCAGCTACACACCTATTGGGCATGTTTTCTTTTTATGGTGAATTATATGTGACTTGCAACTCTTTCCCGGTTCCTTGCCCAACGTCACTAGGTCTATTCCTTTGAGTTATATAGTTTCAGGTCAAAATACGCTAAACGTACAAAATCGTCAATTGTGGCGCAAAATTAACCCCCGAAAACTTCGTCAAACGCCATAGAAAAGATTAATTTTTGTGAATTTTGTTTATTTAGTGGTTATATTATATTTTATGGAAAAAAATAATCAATTGGGTAATATACTCTTTAAACCACCGCTCTTTCGAAGTTTCCCAGTCTAAAGCATTTAAAGCAGTTTCTTGACTAAATTCATTAGGCAAATTTGCTATTAAACGTGCTGCTCTATTTTGGAGTTTTTTTAAACGTTCAGATTGATGTTGTATCGTCAGCAAATAGCGTGCATTTCGCTTGTTTTGGATAGAGTGATAAGTCATTTATATAGATAAGAAACAGCAACTGCCCTAAAATGGAACCTTGCGGTACAAAAATCAACAAAGTAACTATGAACAAGCTGGACCACTTGTTTGTACGAGACTACCTTCACTCTTTGCAGTTTCAATTTTTGCATATTCTGCCGTTAACTGCATTAAAGGTAATGCATCCCATGTGAATTCTTCATTAACTGTAATTAAACCAAGTGGATTGTTGTTAGATGACACTAAAGGCAAAATTCTAAAATGATGCACGCACATAAGCTTGGAACAAATGCTGGCTCAGCATTGTCCGAAGCAGTTCTTTTATGTTGGTTTTATGTATTAGCCTGTTTACCACTACAATGCATACTTAAACCACAGAAACACAAAGAGCTAGCATTTATAATATTATAGCAAACCTCTATCATCATTATCTTTATTGTTTACAGTTTGTCGATTTGTGCAAAACCAGGAGTTGAATATTGACAATTATGTCAGCACTGCATTTGACTTCAACAAAACACTATTCTTAAGTTCTACTTCATATTTTCTGAATTACAAGCAGTAAAATTATTGTAATCAAAGACTCAGATCTTTAAATAAGAAACATTATGATTTTGCTTACCATTGTCATGAAACGCTTCCTTTTCTTTCACCTTGAACGACTTCAGCATCCGCATAACCCACAAGTTTTTAGTATGTTTATTGACAAAACTTTAAAGGAGTTTACGTTTGGATTAAAAGCTTTTACTTTTCACTTTTATCGCACTTGTTGAAATTCAGGAGGGGAGAAAAAGTGTTAACAGCATGAGCCCGTACAACTCTGCTGATATTTTTATCCAAATTTTGCCCTATAAAGTATGGCGGCATTCATGTTTTCGACAACATGTTGCGCTTAATAAAATATAATAATTTCGATGAGGTTTCCGTCCAGGTAATTACTATACAGGTCAGTAATGTTGACACCCGAGGAGTAGTCTGCCAGAGTGCATCGTGTCGTTTGATTTCATAACAGTTCTATTGGGCTAGTGTTCTTTACTTTAAACTGTTCTTTTAACAACTAATAACTTATTACTTTTACCATTCACCATAGTATTTGCTATCTTCAAAACTATTTTCAGATTTGTCACCTCGGCAAAGTCTCCATTTTATAACTTTTGATAAGTTATACGAAACCGTAGAAACCGGTGTCGCGTGAGACAATATCGCGGCGGTGCAAGTCAGTGTTATCAGCGGCTTTCAGTAATACAAAGGAATTTGGCTGTGACAGTAGCTGTGCATCCTCTATATCTTGTGCAGCTCATAAACTAGGAAACATCAATCGATGATTGGGTCGGTTGGCTGCTCAAATACTACGACTTTTCAGACATTTTACACTAAACCTATCAAAAGTTTATTTAATCTTGGTTTGACAATTTTGACACCAATATAGAATTTTTAATATGTTTTGTTAACCAGTAATATGACATTTAAACTTGAGTGCTGGAATTATTTGTTTCTTTTCTTAATGAGAAAATTTAAGTCTGTTTCCATTGTTTACTGTGAAATCTCATACAACTTAAAAATAAAAGCCGGGAGTGGAAGAGTTGTATGCCCGATTCCCATTATTTACAATCACACCCACCCAACCCTTCCACTCGAACAAGGATCTCAGACTGTCTTTGAAATGTTGCTAACTTGTGCATGCATATGCTCTCTTATACAACTCTTCCACTTTCGGCTAATGACACGTATAGAATTCAAATTAAACTTCCATTTAAGGTAAGTTTCGTTCAACTTTTAAATTGTTCTATGATTTATAAATAGTACGAATAAAAATTGATCGCTTCGAATAAAATCAATTCCATTAAATGAATATTTTGTCTTCTTTAAAAGAAAAACAAAAAATCTCAGAAATAAACGGAATTTTTTTGTCGATTCCACGGTGTACAACCAATTTATGTTCATCTTAATTGAGCTAGCCAACAACAGTAAAGAAATCTTTTTGCCTCGATAGCGCATCATTTTAGCCAAATTTTATTTCCCTGCATGATCATTGCTTTCTATTAAAAATTAAATAATTATTTCGCAAAATTACCTTCATAGATTTAATTTTTCAAGTATACATATAGAGTAGACTATGCAATATATCTTAGCAGGAAAATTGACTGAATTCCGAGTTCTTTTTTGTAATCTATGACTAATACCACAATTGTGTAGCGCATAAACCTATTGAGTTTTTAAGACATTTACATGCGTAGACGTGTTTGGTTTTTGAACATATGGCATGCTCCCAAATTCTGTCGTTTTACACACCCTAGCAACGTAATGACAAGTCTTACAAAAAAAGTTGTCAGAAAAGTTAACTTGTATTGTTAAAATAAGTTTATTATTATGAAAGATTAAAACATAGATCGGTCATGTTTTGATGATTGAGATTGCTAAATACTTTAAAGGAGTTAGTAAGTGCTAATGCTCTATAACCATTCCACGAAAAATAAGTGATTCATTGACATAAGATTGAGTCTATTTACGTTTTTGGAAAATTTCTAAAATGTTAGATTATCACCACATAAATCCATGATTCCACCTGATGCCAACGCTGTCTTTAAGCTGGTTTTCCACTTTGCGAGTTTTTTCGTGCGAAGCGATAATTTTCGATTTTAGGCATGTGCGGACGATTAAAGATGTCACCTATACACAGTGATGAAATTAGCAAACTGTTTGCAACAACAAAAATCAAATTTTAGTGTTTCTAAAATGTAATCAAGTAGTTGAAGCCAAATGTTACACTCAGACATGCGGGACTACACCCAAACACGCGTATGTAGTATTTCGAGATTCCCTCGCGGAGTGAAAATTGATTGAATACACACGCATGTCTGGGTGTAAAATTTGGCTTAAAAAAATAAATAGGCTTTTCTATTACAGGAAGCGTTTCATGTATTTCAGGTCAATGTTCGCGATTTCTGTCAACCATAATTAGTTTTCAAAATGGCGGACGTTGAGGAGTTATTTGTTCTTGAATGACATTCCATACAATCTAATGACTCTACTCTACGAAACACTGACTATTTTGACTAAGGAATTTCTTACACGAAGTACGAAAGAAACGATGCTTATGAAAACATATTCCTGGTGGTAAATACTAAGCTCTCTTACGAGGAGATGAAAGTGTCCTTTAATGTGCCGGTTCAACTTGTAAACGACGCATGAAAAACGTCTCCTGCACTTTCCTGGGCGTTCTGCTCGTCATTGCAGCAATGACAAACATAACACATTAATTTAAAGAAAGAGAAGTCATATAGTTAGTGTTTGACTCAGCTATTTTGTATTAATATTTTTTGTATTTCGCGGTTTTATTATTACTAGTGGAAATCTTATACCCATTCTCAAGATATTTTTTTTGCTTCAAAAATTATCGCTTCGTGCGAAAAAATTCGCAAGAAGAAAACCGGCTTTAAAACATCGAAGAACAGCAAATGTTAGATTGCTATCAAAACAAGTAAAGATGAAAATATAAACTATGCAAAGTAGCAAGGATAAGGAACTCTCTGTTTCGTATGATATATATAATGATGTAAAACTGTTTTTAATGGATTTAACACGTGAGAGAAGTTCAAATCATGATCGTGTTTGCCTATGTCCCAAGCCCACAATTCGACATAAGTGAAAACATTCCAACCTTGCTTCTAATTCATTTTTATTCCGACACAAGCATTGCTTAGAATGACCCAAAGAGTGTTTTTTCAATTATGTGAAATAATTGACTTCTCAATGAAAGATTTTCAATACGGGACCTCTAGTATATCTTTTGCGGACGTCCTATGACTTTTTGTGTTTCCATGCACTGACTGCAACATACAAAATTACAGAAAACAAATATTGAAAATTTTCTTTAATTTACACATTAAGAATAAGGGGTTGTACTTTTGATCCTAGATAACAGGGTATCTGTGCGATCCTAAATTCCTTTGAAAGATCAAAATATTACACACAAAAAAAACACTTTCATTTGTGGAGCGCTACATCAGTTATAATTCTTAAGTTTAATCAAATTAGCTGTTTTCATTTTGTATGTTTTCAGGAGCGTACGAGCCTGGAGAAACAATTCAAATTGAAAAAAGGGCCCCAATATATAATGAAATGCCCTTTTCTTGTAGCCACCTTATTAAAATGGAACTTGTGTTTTTTGTTATTTTAAAGGAGTGTGATATTTCTTTTTTCACAACTCACCTCAGAGTTAGTTATTTCGAGTCTTTTTACCTTAAGGCTTGGAAGCCCGTGTGCTTTCCGACCGCTTAACTTCGTTTCTTCCGAGCACAGGAGAACTCGTGCACTCATCAAATATAAAGTCAGCTAAACATCGCATCAATCGCATGTAGCATGTTGATTACAATCGTTAGATTGAAGAAAGCTGTAAACATGGAAAAGCGCTAAACCTTTTATCATACAATCATAACGCATGAGTTCACCAGACCTGTCTCAGAGTATATTACCCTAGCTACTTTGCAACATATGCTAGAACACGGAATCACTTTATCATGCTGTACACGAAGTCGTGGATCTAATGGTGTCTGATTATTCCTGGCAGTTTTTACTGAAAAAGTGGGGGGAGGGGGGAGCAGCACTTCCCCTTGCAATAGTAACAACTAGTTATTTTCCATATTATATGTTCATTGTCACCCAATATTTATATTGCATTATTTAAATGCAAGAAACTTTACGTTAGATGATATTGATATTGCTAAATAAATGGGTTTGATATATTCTTTTATAGAACTGGAAAAATAACAATGCGAAGATTTTTGAAAATTAATACCAAAAATATTTTAAAAGAATCCGATGATGATATTGCAACCGCAAACAATTTATGCGACCGTGGTAAAAGGTATCTTGAAATAGGAGAGTTCGACAAAGCAAAACAGTATTTACAAAAATCTCTTAAAATTTATGAAAATTTATATGGTTTAGCAAATGTTCACGTTGCTACTGTTTTAGTAAATCTTCGTGACGTGTGTTATAAGACTGGAGATTATGACCAAGCAAAAGAGTTTTGTGAAAACGCTCTAATAATTCGAGAAAAGTTGTTAGGTCCGGATCATGTTGATGTCGCTCAGACTTTAATAAATCTCGGTGTGGTGTTTCATCATAATAGAGAATATGACAAAGCCCGAGAGCTTTATGAAAGAGCTCTGAAAATTCAAGAAAAATCACGAGATCATGCTAGTGTCGTCTATACTTTAAACAATATTGGTGAGGTTAATTATCACACTGGAGAATATGATAAAGCCCAAGAGTTATATGAACAAGCTCTACAAATTCATAACAAATTGCCAAGCCCAGATCATGTTTTGGTTACTTCGACTTTAAACAGTCTTGGTGAGTTGTATGATCATAAAAGAGAATATGACAAAGCTAAAGAGTTATATGAAAAAGTTTTAGAAACTCAAAAAAAATCAAAACGTTCAAGTTATACTGATGATGCACGATTTTAAACAATCTTGGTGTGTTGTATTTCCATATTGGAGAATATGACAGAGCTAAAGAATTTTATGAAAAAGCTCTAGAATATCGCAGGAATCATCCAGGTCCACATAATGCTGATGCTGCCACAATTTAAAACAATCTTGGGAAGGCGTATGATCATACTGGAAAATATGATGCAGCCCAAGAGTTTTACGAAAATGCTTTAAAAATTCATGAAAAAATTCCCGGACCATATAATGTTGGTTGCGCTTCAATTTTAAACAATCTTGGTGAGGTGTATGAGCATATCGGAAAATATGACAGAGCAAAAAAGCTTTACGAAAAAGCTTTAAAAATTGAAGAAAATTCGTTAAGTCCAAGCCCAGTTTCTATTGACAAGGCAACTATTTTACACAACCTTGGGAAGATCTTTAATCTTACAGGAGATTATGAGAAAGCTAAAGAATTTTATGAAAGAACTCTGAAAATTCAAGAAGAATCGTTAGGAACAGATCATGTTGATGTCGCTAAAACTTTAATAGATCTCGGTGTGGTGTATCATAATACTAGAGAATATTACAAAGCAAAAATTTTCTAATGAAAAAGGTCGAAAAATTCAAGAAAAATTGCAATTCCCAGATCCTGCTTTTGCATCTCTTTTCTTGCTATATTCTGGTTTAGGGTATTCTTATCAAAAAAATTTTGAAAAGGCTAAAGAATGTTTTGAAAAAGCTCTGGAAATTAAAAAAAAATTGTTAGGTCCAGATCATGCTGATGTTGCTTTTCTTTTAAGAAGTCTTGGTTTAATGTATCAAAAGTCTGGAGATTATGACAAAGCTAAAGAACTTTATGACAAATCTCTAAAAATTGAAGAAAAGTTATTTGGGTCAGAAAATGTTAGTGTTGCTACTGTTTTAGTAGATCTTCGTGACGTGTGTTATAAGACTGGAGATTATGACCAAGCGAAAGAATTTTGTGAAAACGCTCTAAGAATTCGAGAAAAGTTGTTAGGTCCGGATCATGTTGATGTCGCTAACACTTTAATAAGTCTGGGTGTGGTGTGTCATCATACTAGAGAATATGACAAAGCCCGAGAGCTTTATGAAAAAGCTTTAAAAATTAAAGAAAAATCGCTTGGCCGAGATCATGGTAGAGTCGCTCTTATTTTAGGCAATCTTGGTGAGGTTAATTATCATACTGGAGAATATGATAAAGCCCAAGATTTATATGAACAAGCTCTACAAATTCATAACAAATTGCCAAGCCCAGATCATGTTTTGGTTACTTCGACTTTAAACAGTCTTGGTGAGGTGTATGATCATAAAAGAGAATACGACAAAGCTAAAGAGTTCTATGAAAAAGCTCATGAAACTAAAAAAAAATCAAAACGTTCAAGTTATACTGATGATGCCACGATTTTAAACAATCTTGGTGTGATGTATTTCCATACTGGAGAATATGACAGAGCTAAAGAATTTTATGAAAAAGCTCTAGAATATCGCAGGAATCATCCAGGTCCACATAATGCTGATGCTGCCACAATTTTAAACAATCTTGGGAAGGTGTATGATCATACTGGAAAATATGATGCAGCTCAAGAGTTTTACGAAAATGCTTTAAATATTCATGAAAAATTTCCAGGACCATATAATGTTGATTGCGCTTCAATTTTAAACAATCTTGGTGAGGTGTATGAGCATATTGGAAAATATGACAGAGCAAAAGAGCTTTACGAAAAAGCTTTAAAAATTCCAAAAAATTCGTTAAGTCCAAGCCTAGTTTCTATTGACAAGGCTACTATTTTACACAACCTTGGGAAGATCTTTAATCTTACAGGAGATTATGAGAAAGCTAAAGAATTTTATGAAAGAACTCTGAAAATTCAAGAAGAATCGTTAGGAGCAGATCATGTTGATGTTGCTAAAACTTTAATAGATCTCAGTGTGGTGTATCATCATATTAGAGAATATGACAAAGCAAAAAAGTTTAATGAAAAAGGTCGAAAAATTCAAGAAAAATTGCAATTCCCAGATCCTGCTTTTGCATCTCTATTATCGCTATATTCTGGTTTAGAGTATTCTTATCAAGAAAATTTTGAAAAGGCCAAAGAATGTTTTCAACAAGCTCTGGAAATTAAAGAAAAATTGTTAGGTCCAGATCATGCTGATGTTGCTTTTCTTTTAAGAAGTCTTGGTTTAATGTATAAAAAGACTGGAGATTATGACAAAGCTAAAGAACTTTATGTTAAATCTCTAAAAATTGAAGAAAAGTTATTTGGGTCAGAAAATGTTCGTGTTGCTACTGTTTTAGTAGATCTTCGTGACGTGTGTTATAAGACTGCAGATTATGACCAAGCAAAAGAGTTTAGTGAAAACGCTCTAAGAATTCGAGAAAAGTTGTTAGGTCCGGATCATGTCGATGTTGCTAAGACTTTATTAGGTCTTGGTGTGGTGTGTCATCATAATAGAGAATATGACAAAGCCCGAGAGCTTTATGAAAAAGCTTTGAAAATTAAAGAAAAATCGCTTGGCCGAGATCATAGTAGTGTGGCTCTTACTTTAGGCAATCTTGGTGAGGTGAATTATCACACTGGAGAATATGATAAAGCCCAAGAGTTATATGAACAAGCTCTACAAATTCATAACAAATTGCCAAGCCCAGATCATGTTTTGGTTACTTCGACTTTAAACAGTCTTGGTGAGTTGTATGATCATAAAAGAGAATATGACAAAGCTAAAGAGTTATATGAAAAAGTTTTAGAAACTCAAAAAAAATCAAAACGTTCAAGTTATACTGATGATGCACGATTTTAAACAATCTTGGTGTGTTGTATTTCCATATTGGAGAATATGACAGAGCTAAAGAATTTTATGAAAAAGCTCTAGAATATCGCAGGAATCATCCAGGTCCACATAATGCTGATGCTGCCACAATTTAAAACAATCTTGGGAAGGTGTATGATCATACTGGAAAATATGATGCAGCCCAAGAGTTTTACGAAAATGCTTTAAAAATTCATGAAAAAATTCCCGGACCATATAATGTTGATTGCGCTTCAATTTTAAACAATCTTGGTGAGGTGTATGAGCATATTGGAAAATATGACAGAGCAAAAGAGTTTTACAAAAAAGCTTTAAAAATTCAAGAAGAAAATTTGTCAAGTCCAGTTTCTATTGACAAGTCTACCATTTTACACAACCTTGGGAAGGTCTTTTATCTTACAGGAGATTATGAGAAAGCCAAAGAATTTTATGAAAGAACTCTGAAAATTCAAGAAAAATTGCTTAGTACGGATCATGTTGATGTTGCTAATACTTTGATAAATCTCGGTGTGGTGTATCATCTTACTAGGGAATATGACCGAGCGAAAGAGTCTGATCAAAAAGTTTTAAAAATTCAAGAAAAATTGCCAGGTATAGTTTATGTCGATTTCGCAACGATTTTGAAAAATCTTGATTTGGTTTATGATCATGTTGAAGAATATGAAAAAGCTAAAGACTTTTTAGAAAAAAAAATGGGTATTCGAAAAGAAATGATAGGTCAAAATCCTGTTGATGTGGCTGCAACTTTAAATAATCTTGGTAAAATGTTTAAAAAAAAGGAAGAGTATGACAAAGCTAAAGCGTCTTTTGAGAAGACTATGGAAATTCAAAAAAAATCACAGGGTCTTGATGATGTTGATGCAGCAATAACTTTAAACAACCTTGGTTTTACGTTTCAAAAAACTGGAGAGACTTACAAAGCTAAAGACTTTTATGAGAAGGCTTTAAAAATTCAAAAAAATTTTCTAGGTCCATGTCATATCGATGTTGCTATGACAATGCATAATCTTGGTGTGATGTATCATGAAACCAAAGAATATGACAAAGCTAAAAAGTGGTATGAAAACTCCTTACAAATTCGAAAAAAAGTGCTGGGCTTAGACCATTTAGATGTCGCTTTGACTTTACACGATCTTGGTGTGGTGTATCATGAAACTAGAGAATATGACAAAGCTAAAGATTTTCACGACAATTATTTGAAAGTTAAGAAAAAAGTATTCAGTCCTGATCAGGTTGATCTTGCTGAAACTCAAGCTAATTTAGGTACGTTGTCTTATAATACAACATATGATATTTATTCAACGACTTTAAGAACAGAAATGTGATATTTTTTCTTTCCAGACAGTTCTGAAAAGCCTAGCGTATTTTTTTAAAATGAATTCTTTATATAACAGTTCTTTGTGTATTATTTCTTTATTGTAAGAGAATTATAAAAAAGGAAATAAGTATATCACAAATTCCTAAAATTAGATTTATTAATAGGTATTGTTCATGAATGCCAGTTTTTAGATAAATAACAAAACAAAATAACTGTTAAGGTGTTTCACATTTCTTAAGGCCTTTAAATGAAATAGACAGAAATGAGAAAATTATTACAAGAGCAAAAAAAATCGTAGAGATGTAGAAAACAAAAGTCTGTGAAATTGTTTTCATTGTTTAAAATGTTTTGACTTATACATATAAATTAAACAGACAAAAAAAGCGATATTATTACATAAAACAACCAGTCAAATAATGCCAGCAAGCAAATCATAAACATTAATAAATGTGAAATATCAAAATGACGTCATCCCACTTTGCCAAAGTAAAAAATGTATGTTGTCTAAATTAAAAAATCATTAAACGTTTAAAAATTCTCGTAGAAAAAACCATATACCATGTAACACTCAAAAATACAAAAACATATACTTTTCAAATTATTAACAAATATTTCAAACACACTTTTGCACTATAACTAAGACAACAAGAAACTGTAGCCTTTGCTTCTAAATCAAAATTTTCATTATATTTTACAAACTCTTATAAATCTTAAGAATACGCGTTTTACGTGGGTCAGATGTTGGAGAAGCATTTATAGACAGCGTGTCATCTTCTAAATTCATCTAAATCTTATTTAGGTTAAAGGAATTAGTTTGTTTGAATTTTCCCCGGTTATCGAAATGTTGTTGTCTTTCTGTGTCATATACATTTGGGTCACTTTGATTCATTGAATCTTGTAATGAAATAAACTATCGAGATACAAATACTTTAAGTTACAATATGTTTTTCTCTTTTTAAGGTTGAGATAAAGTCTTTTCATCAAAAACATATCTTTTAGGCTATAAAGTAGTAAATATTTGTACAAAGTACGTTTAACGTTTCCTTGTTTTCTTTTGAATGTGCAATTTGACAAAATTTTCAATGAATTATAATATATAATGCATTATATCAAAAAAGCTGTTGGAGGAAACAAATCGACATCACTTCCATTTACTCAATTTGGTTGTTGCAAAATTATTTGGAAACATTGCTGCTGACTTTTAGAAAGTTTTTGTATTGTGTTTCAACAAACATAAATAAGGCCAAATATTTTTTCCTTGAAATAAACTGATGATATACCTTACAATAAACAAGAAAAGCAAAAAATATTTTGAGATCAATATAGGCTCTCTATTCAAACTTACTTGCAACAAATATCGTTTTACAAAATGTGTTTTGGCTTTAAAATTCATTGCTCTCAGGTATTTGTTCAGAATAGTGTAGAACTTGTCTGACTGAATGTTTTTATATTGTACATAGAAATGATGACTGACAGGGGCGGATCTAGAGTATGTCAAATCCGTCGCGCGACTGATGTTTGAAATTCAAAAATTACCTATTCATATTAATTAAAAATTCATTAAGTATTCTTACTTTATTATCGCATTTACTTCGTGATAAAAATCCAGCTTTATTTATTATTGAAAACTAATGACTAATGCAACGAATATCTCCTTGGTAAAAAGATCAGTTGAATTTTAATTGAACTGGAATAACCGACTGATAAGCGGGTTGGCTTGACTGGTTCGACTTATAAAGAAATCTATGAACGCCAGAAACGCTATTTTATTTGTCAATGGCAAGATCAGTGGACAGTCTGGAATAATCTCGACCGATAATAGGGGTGGCCGGACCTATAAGGGAGTCCAATTGCTATCTTACAATTGGTTCATTTGAATTTTTGTCTTACTGTGATTGGTTTGACCGATTTCGACTGATAGCCAACTGAACTAACATAGTCAAGCACACTGTCGGAATTGAATGTTTGATCGTTTCATAGTAATTTTCTGAAGCATGATAGAAGCTAAACTACAATCAGATGGAATTTATGGAAATCTTTTACAAATTCATATGTTGACATGAATGCTGCTTTCCAAACTAGGAATTTTTTCAAGAGAATGAAAAATTTATGGATGAATTGTAAATGCTTGGCAAAGACGATCTCGCGAGCGACATTTCAGTCATTGATGTTCAAAAGCAAGCCAACATTGTTTTGAGTTTTATCAGCGGAAATTTACATCGAAAATCGTAAGTAACGGACAAGTGAAGTGTATGCATGAATGCAATATATCAAAGTCAATTTATGCGAGTGTGTGATGCGATTTATGTTAATATGGCGTATGGTAAGCAGATTGATGCTTCTAAAATTGTTGTTGCCGAAGGACTTTTAGCTATGATTTCTTTAATGCTTGGGGAATCGTGGCCGTTATATGGCAGCGAAATCCTACATTTCTGCAAATATATTTCAATGGACAAAAAATCTGTAGCCATAAGGCGCCATACTATTATTTACTTTATCATAAACAAATCTTTGGGGCTTTTCAGTTTATGATCATTGATCATTCAATCATTGGACAGTTATACTACATATTGTTTAAGATTTGAGAAAACTAACATTGATTACATGAGAAGCTGTTTACTATAACCTGTGATTTTGAGTCTTATTATCCATGAAGCTTTTTATTTTGACAATTTGACTGGAATGGTATTAAACCTTAGTATTTCACATACATGAAATGTTGTCCCATGTCACATATTGTCCCCTTTTCTAACTGAACACCTCATGTAGAGATGTAAAGGTGTGTTAATCTACGGCTCATACCAGATTGTTTGCCATAAATTCCAAAGGGCTATTGATGTATGAATAGCATTTTCTATAAAGTAAAAATGTCTTCCAATGTATGCAGATAAACCTTGAAATTTGGCAAAACAGCAAAGTATTTTTCATGATCACTAGGTAATTTTTTTGATGATCATTATAATTTCTAAACTAAATTATTTCAGATTTACATTTAAACGAGCTTTGATCATATGAAAAGATATTTATCATAACCAGTAAGCATGACACATGAACCAATTTTAGCATTCATGTAATTATATAATTAAAGACATGTTGGTTACATTCTGTTTGTATTTGCAAATACAATGCTACTAGTGATTGCTATATAGCACACCATGCATATACTTACAGAAGAAAATAGTCTAGTGAAATGCCTAAGAAACATTCATGGCATTAAGCTGTCCTTATCTTCAATTTTTCACTTTGATAATTTTCTTAATCTTTGACAGAAAAAAGTTTTGAGTTTTTTCTCAAAAAATGAATTTGCTGGCTCTGATGTGGAGATTGGTAAAGGTTTACAATAAACTTGCATGGTTTGAAGTCTGAGCTTTTCTATATTTATGAACTGTCACTTGTAGTACCAAATTTCTAACTTAACTTATTACATAGAGGTTTGAATGGGGGTCTCTAGGGGGGTCTATGCCTGACAACTTGGTAGAAATTTTTAAAGACTTTATCTGTTTTTGAATAGCATTATTGTAAATTAAATTTTACGTTTCTAGACATGCTAATGAGCCATATATTTGGTATGATCATGAGCCTAAATATTGTTAAAACATTCAAGTATTGTTCACTTCATTTTTTTATGAAAAAAACGTAAGCAAAATGTGTTGTTTTTGCCGAAAAACGATGCCCACAAAATATATTTTGTATTGCTCTAAAACGCTGAAAATGGCATTTTAGAGGTTCTGAAATTCAAAATTTCTCAGGGGAGAATTCCTCAGACCCCCCCGGCGCGGAGTGCCTCCGATGTTTTATGACTGATGTTTGAAAAATCCTAGATCCGCCCCTGATGACTGATAATGCTGCTGATGCTAAACCACAGCCAAAGTCACTTCCAGCTTTAAGTGCTATTGGTGTTGATGCTGAGCCACTTTCAACTTCACATGGTTTAGATAAGATAACACAAGGTAAGCTTACTTTATTCTAAAGCCGTGAGCAGCGATTCATCACAATATGAGTGCTTGAGAATGATACAAAATTTAGCTCATTATACTGTTCATAATACAAATACATGCTACCACTCGCAACAATGTTTGCTAGTGATGTAAATTTTAGAGAAAGTTTTCTACTAATTAGATTTAACTTTTTCCCCCTACATAATTGAAACATTATTCTTACTCATATGTTGGCTATGGATGGTATATCCATGAATTAGTGAAGGAAACATTGAAAAATTAAATGAACCAAATGAAAAAAAATACTTTCTAAACGATATTCAACAAACTTACAACTTATTCACCGCATTCTAAGGAAAAAGTGTGTTTTGTGGCCAAAGAAACGCTGTTGCATATATTGCTCACAAAAAAGCAGTGGGCAACCACGGCCAATAGTTTTGAAGCCAAAACGTAAGAGCACGTGCACAGGAGTTTATTGTCAAAATCTGAAATAGTTAGATTTCAGTTCATTAGTTGCCTTTCTGTAAATTAGAAATGTTTATTTGTCACGGCTGATGCTAAATGAACGTAAGTTTTGCAAACAAACCTTTCCACATTTGCTTTCACAATTAATTAGTAATACTAAAATTATATATATTTTATTGAATTCCAAATATTCGCGCTTTTTTAAGTTTACTTACTATACAAGTTACACGGATAAAAAAGCGGACTAACATTAACATGTACAATTTTTGCGGAATGCAACCAATTGGCTGCTTTTGTTAAACTTACACAACACTTCCTTCCTTCAGTTAAGTCAGATGGAAATTTCACAATTCATGTTGACATTTGATACAACTGTCAAAAAGTTTTTGTAGTACTTTACAGTTTACCTTATAATTTTGTTGGTTCTAACCAGAAACGATGAGTACGATATACAATTTATCACTTTTTTAAATCCATACATTTATAACGTACTCAAAAATGTTTTATAGCTGCCTGTATCGAATGCTATTTTAACATCTATAAAATTAATTAAGTTAAAGAGATAATTTCTTTTGATAACTTTAATCTGTTTGATTATGGTTCTTTCATTTTGACCTAGTATATCGTTAATTATTCTCAAAGATTGATTTGGATTTTTTAAATGTAAATTTAGTAAATTTATGGATATCGTTTGAACATTTTTGTACTTTATTCTGTGAAATATGTTTTCCATAGTTGCCACATATCATCAAAACTTTTTAAAGCTTATGTTTTCCTAATTTATACTATACAAATACTTAAAAATATTGCATCTTTTACAATTTTGAAACTTCCAACCTCAATATGTTCTGGTTACTTAGAGTTTTATCTTGAATTGATTTTCTGAATTGTAAAGCAATACTGTGGCTACTATATTAAGGTGAACAACGTTAGAAAAAAGCACCTTTTCTCTACATGAAAGAAAGATAGATTGAGTGATACGTTTGTGATTATTGATTAATTGAGTGAGCTTATTCAGTTCCAAAAAGCTCGAAGTTACTTTGTGGAGTACAGTTCTAGCATATTACAATTTTAAATATCATAAACTGTATCTCCATGGAATCTTTTATTATTATATATTTATTTTATCTTGCTCTCAATTTTGTTGAAAACTTGAAAGGAAAATATGGATGCGTAAAAATACTTAAGAACATAAAATTTTCCTAATTTTTTTTGCTGGTGCGTGATTCTCTAAATTTTGAACCACTCTAAATTTTAAAAAAATTGAATATAAAATAGAAGCAGTTCTAAAAATGGTGTCATACAAAAAACCTGGCCTGTATAAAAAATGTCAACCCGAATGGCCATATATGATTTACCAGATGGTCGTTCATTCGTAAATCACAGTTAGTGAAATTAGGTTAATAAATTTTTGTTTTTGCAGAGAAGCCACGGATTAATCAATTTCTGTTGGAATTAATGGGAGAAGTTACAAATAAATGGAGAGATTTGGCAATCTTTCTAAACATTAAATTTGCAAAAATAAATGAAATTAAATCAAACGAGGATGACGTGGTCTGGAGAGGATTTACTATGCTAAAGTATTGGTTTCAATCTCGAAATAATCAACAAGAGTGGTTTAAAGAGGTAGCTGCTGCTTTAGGCCGTATGGAGAACAGTGCATTGCAACAAAATGTTTTATCAAAAGGTCCAAATGTCGAATTGGGATGAAAAGACTTTTTGTTTTCTTTCTACAACTGACATTCCAATTGATGCATAACGGTAAAGCTGTTGTTACTTTATTATAAAGCCTTTGTTGAATAGGTGGTTTTTATGGTTTGAAAAACAGTAATATATCGTAGCGAACTATTTACAAATATAATTATAGAAATTTAATTTTAATGCTAAACTTCGTAAAAATTGGTATTATTCACTTCTGAGTCAAGTAAAGATGAATGAAAGAAAAAGGCTGAACTGCATAGTGAATGGAATTGCACATATATTTATTACTAATTAATACATCTTATTAATTGAGCGCGATGTTCTGACGCGATGTATCTGAACGAGACCTTTTTGTACGGATCAAACCCATAGGGAAAGGTTTGTTCTAAAAGGCATAGGTCCGACACTTCTCGATGAAGATCGAAGACGCTTTTTAACAAGGTTTATTACATGAGACATTTGCACTTGAGAAAATAAGAGCATGCAGTAGCATTTTTTGAAATCCTTCCTTAGCATGGAAAAGCATACAGAAGCGTGCAACACGTTTTCATGACAAAAAGCAAATTTTAATTTCTTGCATCTTCCATAATTAAGCCATGCATTTCCAGATATTGTCAAAAATAGTAAAATAATGTCACTCGAGCTTTTTATCATAAATCAATTAAAAAACGTGCTACGAGAATACGCACTATGATATAGGTTGTAACTATAGTTGTAAGAATTGCAAATGTATCAGGAAATGTAAACACTATAAACACTTGTTTTAATCATCAGGGTAACCATCGATAATGATTCTACGCTTTTTTGTATTTCGAGTGATTTTAACTCGACTGTGAAATAATTAAAACTACGATTTGAAATATTTGTGCCTGAAACAAAATTCGTTCTTTGTTTACGCTATTGTTATAGTCTCTTGTTGATTTACAGAAAGTGCATTTGAGCTCGAGTTTATTAAGCTGTTTCTGGTGATGGATTTAGTTTTCTTTTAATAGATAGGTGTTTTTTTTTAGGTATTTATCATGAGCACATTTTGAAGAAAAATAAAAACCCTTGTTTTCAATTTATGTTCCTGCTTGTACTGGCTTAAAAAAACTTCGGAGACGTTTGTCAACGTTTGTCAAACTCGTTACTTACCATTACGTATCATACTTACCATTACTTACCATTACTTACCATTACTTACCATTACTTACCATTACTTACCATTACCTACCATTACTAACCATTACTTACCATTACTTACCATTACTTACCATTACTTACCATTACCTACCATTACTTACCATTACTTTTTTTAACGTTAGTTTTATGTAATTTTATTGTTTAAACATAATATTCGCCGTTTTATTGCAATCTACTGTCTTTTAACGAAGCTCTGTAGCATCTATCATTTGTTGATGTTTACCTGCAAGTGGTGGAAGCACTGACGCAAAACGTTCATTTAACGTTTTTATTTCATGTAGTGGAAATTATTCTTGTATATGACGCACAATGTAGCTATTCAAATGACTTATGCTGCATCTTTTTTGGTCATACCATGCATCTTGCGTTTTTCTTTTTTTATAATTGTTGTAAATGGCTCAAAGTTACTGTCATATATATTTTGTATAGCGATAGTTTCATTTGGGATCCAAACGATTTACTTTCGTTTTTTGTTTTTTTTTCGCTTGACATTCATACCTATCATGCTTTAAAAAGTTATGTGTATCTGTACATTGCTTATAAACAAATACATTACACAAGAGTTCATACAGTAGCAACAGAACTAACGTAATTTATATAACCTTAAAGACAGTAAATTTTTCAATAAAAACATCAATTTTCAAAGCGACAAAATACATATTTGTACAATTGGTACATATTTAACAAAATTGTAATCTTGACATTGATTTTTTAAGAATTCAATAGACTGTCACTGGAAGAAAAAGTTTTTCAAGTTAGACATGTCTTTTCCATAAAGACAAAAATTCATTGGCTCTATCTACGTACTTGTTTTATTTTATCCGCTGTTTTCTTCTGGATCTTTTCCAGGGAGCTCTGTTCTTATTGAAGATCTGCAAGAAGTAAAAACGTTACAAACAATAAATGAATTTATAATTTTGATACATAGGAAGCTACTAGTGCTTCTATTTTACTTCTTTAGCAGATTGCTTAAACGGAAGTTTTCTTTTGTATATGGTTTGCTCATTTGAAGCAGAAAATTATTGAATTACTAAACTTTTGCATGGTTTCGTTCATACACCGTGTTTACCTTAGCTACTTTATCTTGAAGAAATACAAAATATTTGATTCTAACTAATCATAGGTATGTGAAATGTTAGCAATTCATAAATCAATCTTTAAGTGTAAACATATACATACTAATTAATTATGAAATATGTGTGAAAATATTTGACCAAATAGTTACATATAGTTGTCAAAACAGTTCCACGTTTCATTATATAATGCAATCATTAACTTAAAAAAGGACGTTTTTGGTCTCAAGTATATCATTGTTGTTAGTAATATTTGTCAACTTTGTAAAATTGTAAGATTTTCAAACATATATATAATCTCGAGAAAATCCCAAATGAGCTGCAACTTTAAAATTTTCTTATTGCGTCTACAACTAAGTTATTGCTCACATTTAACGGACCTCCATGAAGATTTGAGCTGTAGGTGCTGTTAAACCCTGTTTACTGTTCGACCTTACAAATGACTCACTATTTATTCTCGTGTGATTAACTTCCTTGAATTAAGATGTTTCATATTTTTTGTCAATATCAATAAAAAATAACGAAAAGTAAGAAAGATTAAAGTCTTTCAGTTTGTTTTTAAAAAAAGCATTTGACGTATATTACTGTATAATTTTATTACAAATTTTGTTTCTAATTTCTTAAATTTTTTATAAAGCGCGGGCCACACTATCGTCAAAATGCAACGAATTTCGTGACGAGTCGCTCGTCAACGAGCCGTCGTGACGAGTACATGTGCCACATTGTAACGATTTTCCGTACAAGCATGGACGATTATCAGCGCAAAAAGAAACTTCTATTATTGAAGAGAAAAATTCTACTGCTTCTAATTTCTGCAAAACGACGTACACACAAAAGAAGGTTCTGGGTACATCCCATAAATAAAAGGCGAGAAGAGAAGGGCTTGTATGACACGTTGTTGCAAGAGCTTCGTCAAGCTCTATTGGTCGCAACTTTCAGTTCTCGAGCAACATCCTTCCAATTATTTTTCTTTATATTGCGTGTATCTTTATAGTCGGGATGAAATTTGTCCCACAAACATTGCACTCTTGCCAATCCGCCATTTTGCTACAGCACAGTGAAAGTATACGTTAGTCATGTGATTTTTCTTGTACAATCAGAGTAGATATGCAACAATTACTCGTCACTCGTTGACGATTTCGGTGTGCATGCTCAACGGCGACGAATTCGTCCATATCGTCATATTTTCTCGTTGACGAGCGACTCGTCACGAAATTCGTTGCATTTCGACGATAGTGTGGCCCGCGCTTAAGTCTGCGCAACTTATCAAAAAGAATAGCTGTAATCTTTACGATTACAAGAAAACGAATCAAAGGAAAAATCAAAGTGGTTTTGACATATTTTTAATTGACCTATCACAGCAGGAATATTTAATTTGTAAACTACAAAGTACCTTCTGTAACTACTAAGCAGATATTTCTACGAAAGTTTTTTTATGGCATGTTGACTAAAATTTTAATTTATATATTTTTTACATACTATTATTACCTTACGGGACCGTCCAGTAATGGTTTCTCCTATAAAATTTGTGTAATAAAAGTGGAACAATACACGTGACCACTTACACATGGTCACCGCTTAGTACAGTACTGCTTAACGCAGTTTCGACTGTTTATAATATTTGAACTGAATACGGGCGAGGCTATGTGTAGTTAATATGCATATTAATACTTAAGAAGTTTGCAAAAAGTATTCTTTTGACAACAGAACAATATTATATGTATAATGAAGGACTTTGTTTTCAAGTTCATATCAGATCAAATCCTGAATACTTCAGTAAGGCATTGTCCATCGCTAAACTGAAAATCATTAGTATTATCAAAGTGAACTGGAAAGCAGATACTTGGTCACATGTAGCAGCAGTTGGATGGCATTTACAATTCTCAGGGCAGCCATGCTTAAATTTGACAGTGATGTGCTTTTCCGCTACCAGTGGTGTTACAGACTGACTTCCAGTGATGAATCTATATAGCGTTTTTAATGAAGTGCTAGTGTCCATAAAGGAAAACTGTATAAGATAGTCAAAAGCCATTAAAGTAGGTACAATTTCAATTATCTCTCATTCCCCTTTGTGTCCACTTTTTGAATATGGTCACAAAAACATTTCTGGACATATATTTTCAATTGCTTTTTGCTGCTCCTTCCGGGCTAAACTCTAAAGTCGTGATCAGAATTGGTTGCCTAGTAGCATTATAGATAATATTTGAATATTATCTGTAATGATATATATTGACATGTATGTAAAGATATATATAGAAAAGAATATGTGCAGAATGAGATGAGTTAGGAATTCTAACTTGCTTTCTCGTTTGCGATGAAGGCGTTCACATAAGTAAGATGTGTTATACAAGAACATTTACAAGAACAATGTCTGCAGTCAAGCAAAAATGAGCAAAACCCTCCGGAGTAAGCATTGATGGCATTATTTCCCGGTGATGTTGAATTTGCTGCAGAACCCCAAAAAGTGTAAGACCAGTTTTTAATTGATCCATCATTGCCAGCATATGTCCAATTCCTGCAATTACAATCCACCTACAACAAAAGATATTGATGCGTCAAAAAGATGAATAATGTAGATTGAACTGTACGTAAGAAAACATGATCATGGTTATATACCGAATAATGTTGTCTCGTGAGGCCAATTTCTCCTTGAAGTGAACACCCCTGTAGCCGATTGATTGCAGAATGGTCATCATGTCATCTGAGCAAAGCAATGTCCTCAGCTCCTCATCACTCTCACATTTAACTAACTGA